TCTCCATTATATGATAAAAATGCCCCCCCCCCCCCGACAATATGGCTTATCATTTGAAAGTGAAACTTGTAAGTAGTAGCGACTTTAAATGGCTGCTCACTCTAATGTTAACTAGATAAATGTGCACTATTAGTCGCATATCAAAAGAATCTGTGGAAGCTGTGGAAGTGCACTACCGCATGACATAGAGGCGCCGGCGCAATTACTTATTTGCATACACTCACAATATCATCAAGACATTGTGCTTTAATGAAATAAAGAAAACAAACAAGATGCGCTTTCTGCCGTATCGGTCTCCATGATCTGGAGCATGTCGCAAAAATTAACAAAACTCAGCGTATACGCTACTTGCCTTGCTTAAAATGTCGACTTTAAAATGAACCCATTTAAATCAAAAACAAAAATGTAATCCATATGAAAGGTAGGGATGTGTCACTGGTTTCACGATTCGATTCGATTCGATAACGATTATCAAGTCAACAATTCGATTCGATATACATCGTGATTATATCAAATTTATTTTGTGCATTTTTATTCAATTATATAAGCAAGCTACTTTTTAAAATAATTACAAATTAATAAAAAATCCAAACAATTGTTAAGAACTTAACCAACTAATTATAGCTTCAAAACATACAAGCCAATATAAAGTAATAAAAGGGGGAAAAGACAATTAAAAAAAGATACTTTCAGTATCTGAGAGTGCTTTAAAGGGGTCACCGGATGCCCATTTTCCACAAGTTGATATGATTTTTTGGGGTCTTAATGAAAAGTCTGTAAAATAGTTTGGTTAAAATTTCTCAATGGTAGTGTAAAAAACACCTCTTTTACCCTGTCAAAAACAGCTCTTTTCAGATCAAGCCATTTTTGTAGCATTTCCCTTTATATGTTAATGAGCTCTGCTGACCCCGCCCCTCTCTTCCAAGCTGCTCTGAGGGACTGTTTACTTTAGCCGCATTCATCGTGAAACTTGCTAATTAGCACATTATTAGGAAAGGCGATTTGCAAAGATTCATTACAAAACATTATACTCACTTCTTCTGTAGATGAGGCTGGATCACGAATGATTCGCGCGAACATAGTCGCATTTATGTAGATCGGGGGCGCATTCCCTTCAGAAACAAATGTAATCCACTGCGAGTTCAGCGGCTCAGATGTCAGGAGTAAATGACGACTGCTATGTTCATTATTACATCCAACAACAGAACACCTCAATCGCTTAGGAGTCATTCTTGTCTACATCTGCTCCAGTTGTAATACAATGGTGGACTGATGACGCTCACTCAGGGCGGGTCTAAGGTAAGACACCAGTTCAGTCTGTGTTGAAACGCTACTGTCAATCAAACTATTGTGGGAGGGGCCTTGTCTGTGTGACGTCACACAGACAGGCATCTGAGATCGGCTCGATTTGAGAAAGGGTTAAAGATTTGACCAGATTTTTAAAAAAAAAACCACTGGGTGGATTTTTATCATTATAGGGTGGTTGTGTACACACACTGCCAACACACATTTCAGTTCAAAAGTGCATGTAGCATCCCATGACCCCTTTAAGTATCCGAAAGTTTACAGACAATCATAGTTATGGGTTTTTCTTTATTGCTGTTTGATTATTACTGATGAGATCATAGCCAGTGGCAGCTTTAACAGGCTGCATTCACACTAATGCACAGATCTATTTCGACATATCAGATGTTTTGTCCTGTTCTGAAAACATCACTCACTGTTTCTACATCAATTCGGAGATGCAAGTGCATTTAACCACAGCCGCGATCAAGCTTCAGGAGAACAAACACAAAGCAAACGTCAAAAGTCTGTCAGTACGTAAGTTTCATGCATCTAATACGTACTGCATTCCAAACGGCGTCAATGAAAGCACATCTAAAGAAAAACACTGCAATAACAGTGGGTGGAAGCACACACTGTCAAGCAATGCGCATGTGTCTCACAGCGCAGATCCTGTGCACTGAAGCCCGCAGCGATTGTCGCTAGCACACACACATTTCAGAATCGATTCTGAGCATGTTTTTTTGTTTTTCCGCACTAAGCTTTCCAAAATGTGCCCAGATCTCGGATTTAAAAATAGTGGGTGCATTTTTTAATACTCGCATGACAAGCACGTTTGCGAATGACGTCAGTAGGCTATAATCGATTATGGTCTATTACTGCATCGATGCAGAATCGTCCACATCCACATCAATGCATCGATGAAACAATTAATTTCAGCACCCCTAATGAAAGGAGCAGATGGCAAGTCCGCATCGTCAACTTCATTAGAAACTTGATGAACCCTGAAAAGATCTTTTTTTATGTATAAGAAAATTATGTATAATAAAATGTACTTTTCTTTTTAGAGCAGTTAAATATGTCTGTCTCAGATGTAGAAGTCAAAGTGGAACATGAAGAGCTTCAGACGTGGATGGCATCCCTACAGACACCTATAAACACATTAAGGTGTAATGAAACCCCTGATTTTAGCACCGGTCGTTCACACTTCAGATTTAAAATGAATGTCTCCACTGCACGCTGTTTTAAGAATGTGTTGAAACTGCTTTGCCGCCGCCCTCACTCTGGAAAACTCTTCAGGGAATTTGAGGAAGCCACCTACAAAGTGTGACTCACAATTAACTCAGATGAAAAATATTGAAAAAGAACTTGCAAAGGCAAGAAGGTTTCAACAACGCTTAGCCCCTCCACTTGCTTCAGATCCAACATGTTTGATCTGAAATACTGTGGTTATATTACACACAAAAAAGAGATATCAGAAGCAGAGGTTGTTTAAATTTGATGCAGAAAAAAGTGTTCAACAGAACTGAAGACATCTACCTTGAAATGTTAATTGAAGTTTAATGTGAATAACAGATGCTCAAATTCAGTTCAAACATGGAATTTCATTTAAGATGACCTTATACTAACATTCTATAAGGTCATCTTAAATGAAATTCCATGTTTGAACTGAATCTGTTAACTGAATATATAATCTGTATATATATATATATATAAATATATATATATTTTTTTTTTTTCTTCCATTAATTCACCTTTGCCCTGCTTTACAGAGCTCCCAGAGCTCAAAGACATTAATGCATGGTTCCTGTAAAGCTACTGATATTAAGACATTGCAACATATCAACCTATCGCTCTTTCTGTTACCAGTAAATAAACCTAAAATGTCAAGCTTTTTAAACTTTTTTGAAAACTTCCAAACAAGGCTTTATCAAGACAACATTAAAAGTGTGTCTCTGCTTTTAATTAAAAATGACATGTTTTACATTTCTTAGAATTTTGATTATTTTTCCTTACATTAAAACGGAACTGCAATTTTGTATAATGTTCATTATATCAGTTCAAATTCAATTCTAGAACTGAATTTGAATTTAAAGCAGTTCTCAGTTCAGTTTCTCTGCTTTCTCTGTCTTTGGCTCTCATCTGAGCCACTGCTCCATTAGAAATTATGAACATACTACTGATGAAAGAGCTGATTTAAGTAGAAATTATTTATTCTGACTTTTGAAGACATGAAAACATAAATCTGACATATGATGAATACAGTTCTGTCAGGACAACTATCAAAATGATTGACACTTATCATACAATTTGGATTGGCGGAATGGTTCTGTTCTGGGCAAAAAACTCCCTGCCCTCCCATGCAGCCATGAAAGGAGGAGCTGGGGATGGAGGAGGGTAATTTGCTCCTGAGCAAGCGATAAAGCTGCTGAATAATACTGAATAGACCTTATATAGGAATGCCGTGATAGGCGTCATATTCCTAGGTAGATGTGGATCAGCTGAGAGTCAGCCTATGCAAGCTTGACTCATGTGACCTGCCAGAACTAACGCTAGATGCTTCATTAGCTTCCTATTCAAGATTAAAAATCAGTAGCTTCCTATTCAAGATTCCCCCCAAAAACTTTAAATGATAATAATGGATAATGACTAATTTCCCATTTTTATGAAATCACTGTTGCTGGAAGCCAAGAGCCATCAGGGAAAATAGGGTCACAACAAGAATGCATGAGAATATTAAAAGGGGGGGCCTAATGCTATTCCATGCATTCTGACTTATTTACACTGTTAAAGAGTTGGAAGTATGACATATTTCTGTGACAAGGACACTCCTCCAGGCTTCGTATAAGTTTCTAAAAAGTTTTTTTTCGAGCATGGCCCTGTAAACAAATTAAATAACATTTAAGTCAATTAAGTTTTTGTTCCTGTTTTATGTCGATGTCACAGCTTGCAGACGATCGTTACGCAAAAGCTTTGCATACTCGTGACTATTTAGCTCCACCCACGGCACGCCTCCAGGAGCTCGGCTGTTTTCGGAGAGAAGCGTAAAGCTGTATCTTTCTTTTCTAAATCTGATAAAACTAAAGGCTCTTCTGAGATATGAATGATGCAATACTACTCTATAGTTACTCAAGATTAACACGAGATTGACAGAAACTGTGTGTGTTATGTCCGCATTAATGATGAAATGAAAACATATGTAATTGTGTTACACACAAACAATTGAGAGAGTACAGAGTACAAGCTATGATATCTATGATATGACATCAGAAGACACAGAATGTAGCAAGTCTTATAAACTTGGTCCTTTTGTATTCATTGTATTCTGTCCTTTATTTGTCCTTTTGTGTCCAGATTGGAGTTTGGAACATCAGTAATTAAATGACGGCAGAATTCGTCAGTCAGCCGACTGTTCAAATAACACTCATTGTTTGTTCAGAACTACTGCTCTAATACAACATTAATGACCAACAATATCTAAACGTTACCTCAGCTGAGCAGGCGGGGGATGAATTTACGTGATATTAAAAGTGGGGGGGACACATCCCCCGCGTCCCCCGCGTAATCTACGCCCCTGAGAGAAACCTCATTATTACTTGCAAGATCCATCAACAGAAATTACACACTCCATTGAAACTACTTTTTATTAAAATGCTGGTGCGGCAAATCCACCATTGAGAAATCATTACCAAATCCATCAACAGAACTAACACCAGAGTGAACTAAAGCTACACACGTCACTCCCAAACGAGCGCTGAGCGTGAGCAGACACTTACATGTGTACATGCTGGCAGCTGAGGTAATTGAAGAGGGCTGAGGCAGTGAAATATTACCAGACTAAAGCACTTACACACAATCGCCCCATCCGACAGCCTCGGCAAGGCAAATAAGCAATTATGTTTGTCCCTCGAATAATTGAAGCCTGGAGAATGAACTACAACAAGATTAGCATAAGAACACCTAGACTCTGTGAAGGGTGGAGAGAGTTACAGTACACACACTAATGACTGCTGACTGAGAGTGAGGATGAGGGATAAAAAACAAACCCTGAAAGTTTAGTCAATCCCTGAACCAGTCTCTACCCAGCCACCTTCAAATTCTGTGTAAATGTGATTCTGCACAACAGCTAAACTAAAATATGCCTCACCCCACAGAATCAAATGCGGCATAAATTGTGGCATCATCAAATACAACAGGATCACAATTCATTTTTCACAACATTGCGCCAATATTTGACCCTTTTATTAACATTGCAATTCAATAACTAACGAAGCAAATAATTTAAATAAGCAGATAATTAAAATAAGCAATAAACACACACACACACACACACACACACATTGGAAAACACCAAAAAGGCCTTGTCTGCTAATACCCATGTGAAAAAGAAGTGCTCTTAATTGTACTGAATGAGCACTTGTAGTGTACTTCAAATCTGAAATGTAAAAAAAAAAAAAAAAAAAAAACTGTAATCCGGGTTTTCAAGCCTTTTTATCATGCAACTTCAGAAGTCTTGAAATAAAATATAGAGCATAATAATATGTATTCTATATATTATGGGTGGTACTTCCTTTTTTATATATTTTTTTTTTTTTTATTTTTTTTTTTTTACTATATTAATCTTTTTTAAATACTAAATACTACACTAAAGTGTTCATCTTTTTCACAAGGGTAGTAAAGGGTCAGTTTTGATGATATATTTAAATATATTTATGCTGCCTCTGTATCACATTAAAACATGGTATAAACATCATGGTATAAACATTATTTCAGGATAGTTTAAAGTCATAATATTAGATTGATATGCACCAGGTTACTATAACAGTTATTTAGTTATATGTCAGTTACGACCTGACACACGTTTGTTAGTTAGTTTACCTCATACTGTGTGATCAGACCATTGGGCTCCAGCGGCTCCTCCCACTTCAGAAAGATCATATCGTCCAATGGGGTGAAGGTTAAAGATTCAGGTGCAATGCCTCCTGGGACTGCAGGGAACAAGAGAAAAGAGTCAGAGAACGGTCAGATCCATCTTACTAAACACAGAGTATCAGACAGAGCTGTGATGAAGGTCGAGATGCCGCGGGTGGATTTGAGACCCTTCTCATATCTGAACACAGCGGCAGGGGCCACAACAGATGATTTGTCTTCTTTACCAACACAACATGTGGAAGAAAATAGGGCAGATTGCAAAAGAGAGAGAGAGAGAGAAAGAGAGACATCTTGGTGCTAGACTCATTTTTTTTTTAAGAGAGAAAAAGGGATCTAACAATGATCCAGCATGGCTACAGGCTGAAGTCATCTCATTAGGGCTCGGTGTGTATGGAAGGGAAACTTAGTCTTCTTTACCAACACAACATGTGGAAGAAAATAGGGCAGATTGCAAAAGAGAGAGAGAGAGAGAAAGAGAGACATCTTGGTGCTAGACTCATTTTTTTTTTTAAGAGAGAAAAAGGGATCTAACAATGATCCAGCATGGCTACAGGCTGAAGTCATCTCATTAGGGCTCGGTGTGTATGGAAGTTGGGGAAACTTAGGCGGTAGTGAATGCTATGAGCTATGGGAAGACTGACTGCTGACATTTAAATGCAGAGACATGAATAGTGTTGAGAAAGCAGGGCAGAAGTGTTGAGGAAAGTTGATTTCCCTTGAAAACTAGTGCAAAAATGGTTCTATTGTTAAAATATAGCTGTAAAAAGCAATTATTGGACCAAGTATACAACATAAACGTAGATAAATGTGCACAAAACCTATAGATGTTTTTTCTTATGTGGCACATAGCAATTGAGATTACTGCGGAAATGCATCAATGCCAGCTATTTGGAAAAAGCAGACTCCTCCCTATATGCAAAATACGCAAGCTGCATAGGGCCCCTGAAACACCAGGGGGCCCCTTGCTCTCAAAAATGATTTAATTTTAGTTTCGTTTTTGAATTTGGCCAGCGGTTATGAAAACATGAATGATCATTTATTTTAATGCGGTGCGCTGTCGCCCTTTCTACGTAAACATCTGTCAAATCATGTAACGTGAATGTCGTACAGTCTTGCTTGAGACTAAAAAAAAAAGAGTTGAAAGCGCACCGAGCCGCGGAAGAGACACTGTTTCTCAAGCGCTTTTTGCGAGCGCGATTCGAGACGGAGTGAAACACGTCTCGAATCGCCACGAATCGGATCGACCCCCCCCCGACACTGTTCTGCGTAGGGCCCCCAGAAGTCTAGGATCGGCACTGAAAGCAGAATATGCCACATGAGGCTGTTTTCCGCATAGCACACATGAGACATAGCACACAGCTCTCAGACAAACGTTGCGGTTTAGGGTTAGCGACATCTTTATCTTATCTTATTTACAAAAGATTTCAACAAATTTTGGTTTATTTATTTTTCAGTTTATTTGTTTTCATAGCAATATCAACACTACATCGTCAGCACAAAACTGAGAGTAATCAAAAAAGCCTACAGGTTATTGTTGACAAGATTCCACATTGGATAAGGCAAATGCTAATGCAAAAAAAAAAAATGTATAAAATAAAATTATGATATTATCTGTCAGAAACATTATCAACACTATCAAAAACAGTAGCATTTAACACTAGTACACAGATCTCTAGAACAATTAAGTTACTGAAATGAAATATGCAAACACTGGCCATGAAGAAGTCTATGCTATTTCATTCAGTATAGAAGTTAAACTTTCACAAAGTCGAGCTAAAAACATTCATAAGTGCACTAGACAATGTGTAACCATCTACATAGCAGTGCTTATTAATGAAATATAACAGTAATAAGTATTGTTGCATGAATAATAAACAAATGATGAAATTACACACATTTAATGCAATAAATATGGTCTAATTTAACTATGTCCATCTCCCCAAAACAGAGAAAACAACTTTCACAAACATCTACATGTCTGTCCCTTTTAAGGTTTTTAGTGTATGAGTTTTATTTGTAGGTGTTATAATAGCACAAATCTAGCGCCACCTCAGACCTCACTCATTTTCAAACCCTGGTTACAGCCACGGAACTAACCCTGAACCCAACCATGACTCTACCCGTTTTAAAGGGGTCATAAACTGAGAAATCTAAATTCCTTTGATCTTTTGACATATAAGGTTCATGGTATCATTGTAAAAAATAAAAAATCCTGTAAGAACATCCTCAGAACTAAAATATTTCTCGTTAAGTCTAAAAGCAGCTTATATTGAAGCTAATCTGCCAAAACGACAGCTTGTGGAATGTGCCGCTCTATGACGTAATGGTGTGGCTAAATTCCGCCTCCGCAGAAGAAGATCAACGCCTGCTTCTACATCACTGCCTGTTTAGCCCCACCCACCGATTCTACATCACTGCCTGTTTAGCTCCGCCCACCGAATCTACGTCACTGCCTGTTTGGCCCCGCCCACCGATTCTACATCACTGCATGTTTAGCTCCGCCCACTGATTCTACATCACTGCCTGTTTAGCTCCGCCCACTGATTCTACAGCACTGCCTGTTTAGCCCCGCCCACCGATTCTACAGCACTGCCTAACGATTCTACAGCACTGCCTGTTTAGCTCCGCCCAACGATTCACGCATGTAGTGTAAATAATGAGAGGCAAACGCAGGTCTACGCAGAAACCAAACGATAAAGATGCTCCGCAGACAACAAGACGCTGTGCAGTGCTAAGCTGTTGAAAAACACATCTTTGCATCGCCTTCCATCAGATCCCAACATTAGGAAAGACTGGATGAATTTTATTTTTACTGAAGATCCAGATCGCCTCCTTTGTTCACTTCATACCTGTCACACTCACACACACATTGACTTTGTTTTCAGTTTGCACCGTCTTCCCTAAGTATCTGTTGTCATGGTTGCTAATTTGTGCCATTCTGTTCAGCTGTGCACACCTCATTGACTTCAGTATTTAAGTTCATGCCTTTCACCCCTTAGTTGTCGGGTATTGTTTACACTTTGGTTGGATGCTCTGGTAACACTTTATTTTAAGGACTAGTTCTCACTATTAACTAGTTGCTTATTAGCATGCATGTTACGAGCATATTGGCTATTTATTAGTAGTTGCAAAGCACATATTAATGTCTTATTGTGCATGACCATATTTTAGATCCCTAAATCCTACCCAATACCTAAACTTAACAACTACCTTGCTGACTATTAATAAGCAGCAAATTAGGGGTTTGTTCAGGAAAAAATGTTAACAGTGAATATGTGTTCCCTATTCTAAAGTGTCACCGATGCTCTTCTCGCCGCTTGGGTCATACTGTGGATTTATTAAAGCCTGTTTGGAATTATCTTCATCTTCGTAGTCCTGCTTGTTTGATACAAACTTAGTATCGTGGCAATACCGTGGATTTATTCATATTTGTTTCCAAACAAGGCACAGTTCGACGCAGGATTTTCAGAAAGATTGAATCTAAAAGATGATGCTGTGCGACTATATTGGATCTGACAGTAATGTCGCACCACACAAGTGAGTAACTTTTTTTATTACGTGATCACTATTGCTTTGTTTGATATGAACTGAGTATTTACGCGTTTTTGACCTAAATCACAGCAGCGTCCATCTTTGAAGGCTGTAGGCTGTCAAACAAACACAACTGTTAGCCAATCACAGCAGTGATCGTTTACTTCTGAGTTTACAATCCACCACACCGGTTCACACAGAGCGTTCAGATGAGGGGCTCAAAACAGAACAGAAAATAACCGGTTACTTCTGAATTATGATGTTTATTTATGTACATGTAGTCCATCTAGTTACTTTATATTGCTTAGTAATTTCTTGGGGAAGTGGACTGTAAGTGCATGCACTGTACAATAAAGCTGTAACCTGGGGGAAAAAAAGCTAATTAACAAATTAAATAGACTTATCAACTTTTAAAAGAGAGAAGAAAACATTTCCCATATCTTTTGTTGTTTATGTAAAACGCTGTACATCCAATCAAACTATATGGTGTAATGCATAGTTTGGGTTGAATTGAATTGTTGATTATGTTGTACTAGTGTTTTGTGTGTTCAGTCGTTGGCTACTGAGAGCATGAAACCATTGCAATGCATGAGACAAAACCAAACACTCACATTCTGAACATGGGAATGATGTTTGTGCATTTACAAAACTGTCAGTTTTCTTATTCAGCATATGTTATTTTATCAATGCTGCATATTGCTGGGTTTATGCAGTTCACACCAATATTAACACTTTTTTAAGGGATATTTCATTTTATACAGTAAAAAATAATTGGTACTGAGACCAAAACAATCTCTTCTAAAAAACTAGGATATGAGTGTTTTTATTTTATTTTTTATTTTTTTGAAGTGTTTCTGACAGCGCTGGAGTTGGCAGAAGACTGCTGATGCTGCACGGCATGTGCTGAGATAAAGCAAACACTGACTAGTATAGTAGTAAAATGCATTTCCCATTTCTGTACAAACACTTGAAAAGGTTGAAAAGCAGAGAGAGTTTTTATATCCCTGCTTCTCATTTCTTACCTCTCTCTTTCTCTTTCTGCAAGCATGCTGACTACCAGTAATTTAACATTGCTTGCAGAATTAATTAATTCATTAACTTCAGTTCCTGAGGTTGTTTCCAATTAACCAAACACATCAAACGCAAACAAGCTCTGTCGCTGAACAAAACACATGAATAAACCAACAGAAAAAAAATGATAAATGGGGAGCATTCATTCTGAGCCGTGTTCATTTTCAGATGGAGAGGTTTTTGCTTGACCTCTGAGGGTTTCATCGTAATGCATTTGCATAAGAATGCAAGCACGCGCCGCCTGACACACGGCGTAAATAAAAAATGCAAAAATAAGCAAAAAAAATCTTTATTCCATTTTGCTGGTGGCCTTAGCTTATTAATTGTTCATATACTTCCATTTAAAAGTATGATCTTCCATTTAATTATGCTGAAGCGTGGTGTTCTGCGAGTCAATATTTGTGTTGTTGCTATAATTGGGCTTTGAGCACTGCGGGCAAACCGGGCTTTGCTGTGGTCGCCACATCTTAATCACTCAGATAAATACAGGCCTTTGCAAAGATGGATGGCTTATGGCTACTGACCCGTGCAAAACAAAACAAAACAAAAAAACACCTCTGGGGACATAAGAGTTTTCAAAATCAGAAAGTTTATGAACAACATGAGGATGAGAAGTGTAATAATGTGACTCTTCATCAGAAGTGAAAATACTTGATGATTATGCCACTTACTGAGCTGTTTGGGGGTTTGTTCTGAAGAAAAAGCTTCTTAAACACTAATGGATAAAATGCGTTATGAGCAGTGTTGCGGGTAACGCATTACAAGTAATGCAAGTTACGTAGTCAGATTACTTTTTTTCAAGTAACTAGTAAAGTAACGCATTACTTTTTAATTTACAAGAGAATATCTGAGTTACTTTTTCAAATAAGAAACGCAAGTTACTTTTTTTCCCCAATTTATTGTTTGACAGCTCTCCTGTCCCCATGTTGAGAGAAATCAGAAGATGTTACTGTAGTTCTAAAATAAATATGAATATGCATTAATGAAATGTGTTGAAATGTCTTCTTCTGCATTCTACTGTACGGACGTACATTTACTTTCCCTTCAGCCTGAGGCTTATTCATTTCACTTTTGGTGTGAAAAGGCTTTTATATTTGCCAAAAATATAACTTTTTTATTTGAAAAACAAACAAGCAAGCCCTGTCCAGATTTAAAAAGTAGCGCAAAAGTAACGTAACACATTACTTTCCAAAAAAAGTAACGCAATTAGTTACTTTTTATGGAGTAACGCAATATTGTAATGCATTACTTTTAAAAGTAACTTTCCCCAACACTGGTTATGAGTTTGCAAAAACAGTCCTTGAAGTGAAAATGCTGGTGCTTTCAATCAAGACAATACGGTCTTATTATGTCTGTGAATGTATCTGCACAAGGTCTGTCCATTTAGTGCTTGATTTAATAATGAGAATGTTCCCCCGCATGCTAAAAGGTGGTTTTCATAGTTGAAATGTCTGAATTCTTGATTATGCAACTTAAATTACACAAATTCATACTAAATCAAGGAGTGATGAGTGATAATGATATTTAGCTGAAGTGTGGATATGATGATGGATTGTTGATGCTTTTATGGTTCATATTTCAGCACA